AAAAGCTGGGACAAAGGCGATTGGGTTCTGGGTGGGGAGTGGGCTGCACGGTCGGTGGGGAGGGGGGACCGCAGAGCCCCTACCCCTCCCCAGGAAGTGGGGGCTGGCGAAGGCCCCCATTGCGCACTGAAGCCACATGGAGTGGCGGGGAGGGTCAGAGTTGAGGGTGCATCACGTGAACCAGCTTCGGAAGCCAGGGACCTCGCCCCTCGCTCGCCGCCCCTTGCAGACCCGGGGAGCTACTCGTCCCCGCAGGAGGCTGGTTTCTCGGCTCCAGCTCCGCACCCCTCGCTGGTACCAAATGGCAGTGCAGTGCAGTGCGGGTCGCCCGGGTCGCCCGTTCCTGGAGCCCGCGGGCGGGGTGGGGGGAACCTGCAGAGGCGCCCCTTCCTCCGCCCGCGGCCCCCACGGGGCGCTTCTGTTCATCCACACAGCTGGGCCCCGAGAGAGCCAGCAGGCTGGTTCTTCCCGCTCCCTGCCACCCCAGCACCCAGACGCCACCCCAGCACCCAGCCTCCCCCGGCTCAGCCTCGCACCAGGCAGACCTCCTCCCCGGCCAGGCCGGGAGGCCGGCAGCCGGCCCTGTATCAGGTCTCACAGTTGCTGACACAGACTGGACGGCTCCTGTGGCTGCTCCCCACTTTCCCCAGCAGAACCTGCTGAAGGGGCGCTGAAGCCCTGGCAGGTGCCAAGAGGCCCCCCACCTCCCAAGCTTTGGCCCCAACGAGTTTCTCTTTCCCTTTGTAATCAGCAAGGTTTGGGTGGGACGGTCACCGAGCTGGCCCGGGGCGGACTTTGGCCTGAGAGCGGTGGCTCCTCCTTGGCCAGGTGAGGGGCCCTGGCCTTGGTTTCTGATCTCATCTAACCTGCCCTCCGGCACTGCCTGGGGGCTGGGCCAGGCAGCGATGCCATACCCTCTTCCCTCCCCCGCCCCACGGTTTTTTTCTTGTCCAGCCTCTTGCTGGAGCCCAAGCTGAGGAATAAGGAAGCAGCGACCAGCTGGGTTATTTTGGAGGCAGTTTTGGTAAAAGCTTAAAATCTTCAGTTCTGGGAAGGGAAGCAGCCCCGAGAACGGTCCCCCCGGCGACGGTCACTTCTCAGGTGATCCGTTTTCTGGGCAGCAGCCAGGCCTCGTGATCCGGAGCTCTGACCTGGGACCCTTCCTGCACCCGGCAGGGGAGAGGTCTCCTGGCCTGGAGGGAGCGGCCTGACAGCCACCAGGCAGAGCCACGCCTATTTGCAGCAACCCCGGAGCAGGGTGGCAGTGCCTCCTCTGTGGTGGGGAGTGGCAGGCGCCGGCCTTCGCCTTCTGTAACCTGCCCCAGCCCCCAGCCCCAGCCCCAGCCCCTGACAGCACTTGGGGGGGGGGGCGGAATTTGGCTTCCTGCGGAGTGGGGCGTGGTGCGAGGGGCTGCCAGGCCCCGGTTGGGCTAGCTTTCCCATCCAGGCCAGGGGAGAGGATGGAAGCAGGTGGCATGGCGGCCTCTTCCCCAGGCTGCCGCTCTGTTCTCTCCTCCGGTCTTCCTCTCCCCCTCCCCCGGCATTGCCCGGCCTTGGTAACCAGAGCCCATCCTCCCTTCTCACTTTCCCCAGCAGCTTCCTCAGGTGGCAGGATCTGGGGGATCAGCCGGGCTTCTTTCCCCTTCGGAGCCAGGGGAAGAGGATAGAGCAAGGGGCCTGTGGGCCTGGGCAGTTAAGAACCCAGCAGCCTGAGTCTTTTTTGTTAATCCTCACCTGAGGGTATTTTTTTCCATTGCTCTTTCGGAGAGAGTGAAAGGGAGTGGGGGGATGGGGGAGAGAGAGAAAGAAACATCGATGTGAGAGCCCCATGGACTGGTTGCCTCCCTCATGTGCCCCAACTGGGGGTGGGGAGCGAACCCACAACCCAGGTATGTGCCCTTGACAGGAACTGAACCCGAGACCCTTTGGTCCAAGGGCTGACGCTCTAACCACTAAGCGACACTAGCCAGGGCCCAAGTTTTTTATATGTATTTGGGGGGTTAATCCTCACCCAAAGATATTTTCCCAGTGATTTTTAGGGAGAGTGGAAGAGAGAGGGAAAGACAGAGAAACGTCGATGTGAGAGAAACACATCGATTGGTTGCCTCCTGCACGAACCCCAACCAGGGCCGGGGCAAGGAGGAACCTGCAACTGAGGTACATGCCCTTGACCGGAATTGAACCTGGGACCCTTTGGTCCGAAGGCCAACGCTCTATCCACTGAGCCAAACCGGCAAGGGCAAGTGTCTTTTTTAAGGCAATGCAGAAGTGTCTCCATTTGGCCTCTGAACCTTCCGTTTAGACTTTGGACTTTTCTCGAATGTGCATGTGTGGTACTTTTCCTTCTTCCCCCTCCCTTAGCCATCTTTCCTGTCACCATCTCTTTGATTTCCTCTCCTATTCTGTCTATTTGGAGCTTGGCCTCAAATCCTCTTCCCTTAGATTTAAAAAAAAAAAAAGAACATTCAGACGAGTTTAATGGGACCATTTCTTAATATTTAGGATGGGGTGGGGGTGTGGGGGTAGTTTCTAGCTTCCATGGAAGTCTGGAACCTCTCTGTAGCATAATGCAAATGCAATAGTTTGCATCGGTTTGGGGGACCCTCGGGAGAACCCTGCTGTAGACTTGGAGCCACTTTCTCCTAATTGTGAACGGAAGCCCCGGAGGGGAGCAGTCGGTCTGGACCCCCAGTGGTCTGGGGAAGGTGGTGCCTTCTTGGCACCATTCACAGGAGCCAAGGAAAATGTATCTTTTTGCAAAAGGCCTGAATAAAGCTAAATGCTGGGATCAGCCCCCCACCTGAGTCCTCCCACAGCATCGCTGTGCCTGGCTGGCTCCCAGCACACCAGCGCAGGCAGAGCTGTCTTGGCCTCTCCTCTACCCCGCCCCCAACCCCGCATGCAGCAAGAGCTGCCTGCCACCCACTGGCCGCTTCCCAGAGCAGCCAGGCCTGGGAAGGGTTAACAACTGCAGCGCAGCTGGGGAAGCTGACCTGAGTCCTGCAGCCTCTGCCGCCTCTGCTGCAGTCCCCTCCCCAACATTTGCCCTCCTCCCCAAAAGGAACAGGGCAGCGTGATGCCCGGTGCCATCCCTGTGTGCCAGGGAGCGGAGCAGCTGCCTCCAGCCTGACCAGGGTTCTTGCAGGCGCTCAGAGCAACCCAGAGCCCCGGTTAGGAGAACGTCTGCCCGTTGGGTGCGCTGTGCTTGACTCGGCACCTCCGATCGCTGACACAGAAACCAGCAGAGCCCCACACACCGTCCCGCTGCCTGCCCAGGGACTGGCCTGTTTCAGTTTGGAGCCTTTAGTTGATTAAGCCTCTAGGGCCGTGGTCGGCAAACTGTGGCTCGCAAGCCACATGCGGCTCTTTGGCCCCTTGAGTGTGGCTCTTCCTAAGCCTTAGGGGTACCCTAATTAAGTTCATAACAATGTACCTACCTATATAGTTTAAGTTTAAAAAATTTGGCTCTCAAAAGAAATCTCAATCGTTGTACTGTTGACATTTGGCTCTGTGGACTGATGAGTTTGCCGACCACTGCCCTGGGGCAACTGCTCCCTTCACTCAGCCGGGGCTCCCAGCCTGCGGCGGCGTTGACACTGAGACGCAGACCTGTGCTGTGCCAGTGAGGAGCGGCGCTGCTCCCGCCCACTGGGTCAAAATCCGAAACCCTTGGATCTGGCATCTTATCGGGCCCTGTGTTGGGCCAGCCTGGGTGTCCTGCCCACCTGAATCCCCCGGCCCTGGCTCTGCCTCAGCCCCTAACTCTGACATGCCCCTCCCATGCCCAGGTGCTCTCATGCCACGTAGAGCTGGCCTCATGGGGGGAGGGGGGCCTGGGCCAAGCGAGGGGGGAGCCGTAATGGCCACCAGCCCTGACGGCTGACTTTCTCCTCCTGCTTTTCCAGGCTGACCAGCTGACTGAGGAGCAGATCGCAGGTGAGCGTGCCCCCCACCCCGCATCCTGCCTCAGGAAGGCCTCTGCGTCCCCAGCCACATCTTCTTCCGCCAGGAGTGTCCCCTCCATCACCTGGTGCCATGCCTTGTGCTTGCAGCGTTGCTAACTGGTGTAGAAGACCCCACCCCCGCCCCCCATGTGCCGGTAACACCATACCCCACGGTCCTGAGACGGGCACTAACCAGACAACAAAAGCTGCGCCCCCTCCTGGCTGCGGGTCATCCGGGCCTTTTAATCAGTGGCTGCAGGGTGGGCCCAGCTGTCTGTCCCGGCTCCTGCAGGTGGGCTCCCTGCCTCCCTGTCCCACGTCAGGACCGCCCAGGAGCTGGCCTGTCCCTCCCACCTGTGCGCTCCCCTGCACGCAGCACTCACCAGAAACGCGGTCCCCACTTCTCTGCCTGGGCAGCGGCTTCTCCTCCATCTCCGGTCTCCGTTCACAAGTCACCTCGGAAACAGCCTTCCTTTCCTCCTGCCATGTCACTGGTTACTTCCCTCGTAGCCTCTCCCATTGTCGCACATTATTTTATGATGCTCTTACCTGCTGTGCCTCCATCGCTGGGTGTGCGCTCCTGGAGCTGGGCTTTGTTCCTGTTGGTCCCGGTGGGACCTTCAGTGCCTAGAACCTAGCAGGTGCTCCGTACGTTTTTGTAGGCTGAACAAGTGAGCAAAGGCCCGTCACGTATCTCCCAGTAACCAAAGAAATCCCTGGGTCCCACCTAACTTTTTTGTGTGTGTTCCACCTCCCCCCACTACCCAAAAGGCCAGAAAGGTCACAGCTGCAGGAACTGTGCTGTGACTGAGTGGGTTTCCGGGTCCTGCTCTCCCCGGGCTGAGCTGCCTGAGGACAGAGACCAGCTCCCGGCTTATCTCCGTAGCCATGGGCCAGCACCAAGGCAGGAGAGGGTTCAGAGACTGGGCCCTCGGGCTGCAGCTACCCAAACCGCAGCCCGCTGTCCGGTTCACTGGGCTGTGACAAGTACTGGATGCCCTGCTTCTGAGGTGGGAGAAGTGCACTCCTACCCCTTCCCCAGCTTCTTTCTACACTTTAGCCCCAGTGGCTGCGGAGACCCACTGAGGCAAGCCAGAGAACTGCCTTGTTTAGTGATCATGAGTTTGGGGTGCACACCGACCCACTCGAACACCGAGGGAGGTCCAGCATCCCCAAGGAGACTTACCGTCCCCAGGGCCCAGAGGCTCCCACTGCACCTGACACCCACGCCCCAACTCTCTGACCTTGAGCAGCACAAACACCCCACTCCGCACCCTGTTCCCATTAGCACACTGTCCCCCGCCTCACCCCAGCCCACACCCTCTGGGAATAGGCTGCTGGGCATCTGCTCTCTGCGGGTTTGGGGGTAGAGAGTGCCAGGTGCCAAAACGGGCCCGGTGGGAGGGCCGGCGCCACGTGCTCTCCCGCTCCTGACGCATCCCCAGCTGTGGCCTTCCCACTCGGTGCCACTCGCTCCTCATCCTCCTGACTTGGCAGCCGTCCCCTTCCTTCCATCCCCCACCCACCCCACGCACCGTCCGTCAGCTGAGCTCTGCTGCCGGGCACCCCGCACTCCAGCACGCAGCCGCTCACTCGCTCCCCCGGAAGCTGGTAGCACCGGCCCCAGGGAACGGCTGCCAGTACCAGGCGAGGGACACAGTGCCAACCGAAGGCGTTCTGCAGCTTCCCCTCCCCTGCTGCCCCCTCCCTTTCCCAGCCCGTTGACCTTGGCTGGCAGACTTTAGATGGAGGCTTCTCCTGGCTCTCATCTGCTCCATGACATTGGTCCATCTCATCATTTGAGGGAGGGGCCGAATCCAGAGGCCATGAAGAAATGAGGAATCATCTGAGGACAGTCAGCCCTCTTTTCTCTGTCCTCGCTGAGCTAGGTTGGCACAGAGGTCCCTGTGCCTGCGACGGGGAGGGGCTCAGTAAGAGTTGACGGAAGGAAGGAGGGGGCTTGGACTGGAACTGAAGTCCGGTTTTGGTGTCTTTAGGAGGGACGCGACCTCAGCCTCCAGGCAGTCAGCATCCCAACGTCAGGGTTCCCCGGCGGGGAGGGGCTCAGTAAGAGTTGGCGGAAGGAAGGAGGGGGCTTGGACTGGAACTGGTCCGGTTCTGGTGTCTTTAGGAGGGACGTGACCTCAACCTCCAGGCAGTCAGCATCCCAACGTCAGGGTTCCCCGTGGCCCTCCAGCTCTGACTCGTTTCCTTTCGTCCCCCAGAGTTCAAGGAGGCCTTCTCCCTTTTTGACAAGGATGGAGATGGCACTATCACCACCAAGGAGCTGGGGACCGTGATGAGGTCCCTGGGACAGAACCCCACCGAAGCAGAGCTACAGGACATGATCAACGAGGTGGACGCGGATGGTGAGCCCCACTCCTGACCGCCCGCCCTCCCGCGAGCACAGGGCCCTCCCTCAGGGCAGGGGCTGTCGTCTCCCAGGGCCCAGGCCAAGGGTGTTCCCAACGCCTTTCCCGTCTTCCAGGGAACGGGACCATTGACTTCCCGGAGTTCCTGACCATGATGGCCAGAAAGATGAAGGATACCGACAGCGAGGAGGAGATCCGAGAGGCCTTCCGAGTCTTTGACAAGGTGAGAGTGGCCCCGGGACTCGGGCTGAGGGGCAGAGCAGGCGGGGCCACGAGCTGCACAGCACAACTAGAGCCACTGAGTCAGCGCCTTCAGGAAGCCCGGGGCGCTCTGCAGTCCCGCCCCTGCTGCCCCCCGACACACACACACTGCCCCCGGGGAAGACCAGGTGCCGGCCTCGCGCTCAAAGCCTTTACCTGTGCCCAATGCCAGGACGGCAACGGCTACATTAGCGCGGCAGAGCTGCGTCACGTGATGACGAACCTGGGTGAGAAGCTGACCGATGAGGAAGTGGATGAGATGATCAGAGAGGCTGACATCGACGGAGACGGCCAGGTCAATTATGAAGGTGAGCTGGCGCTGGGCTCGGTCTCCCGGGTCCCTCCTGTCAGGGAGGGCCGCTCGGCTTGTCCCCACTCCCCTGCTGACCTCTCCCTCCCGCTTTCCTTGCAGAGTTTGTACAGATGATGACCGCAAAGTGAAGGCCCGGGCAGCTGGCAATGCCCGTTCTCTTGATCTCTCTTCTCGCGCTCTCTCTTCAACACTCCCCTGCGTCCCAGTTCTAGCAAACACCAACCGATTGACTGAGAATCTGATAAAGCAACAAAAGATTTGTCCCAAGCTGCATGACTGCTCTTTCTCCTTCCTCCCTGAGTCTCCTTCCCTGCCCCTCATCTCTTCCTTTGCCCTCCCTCTTCCATCGACCTCTGCCAGGGCCTGATGCATTTATAAGATGAACTCCCCGTCCTCCTGGGGGAGCCTCCGCCCTCCTCCTCCAGCCCGGGTGGCTCTCCTCTGTTTGGGTTTGTTTCCTTCTGTTTGTCTTCTTATTTTGGGTGCTGGGGTGGCTTCCAGCCCTGTCCTGGGACCTGCTAGGGAGGGGACGAGGCCCTCACCCAGGCAGAAGAGCACGCCTTTGTCTGTTGCATGCAACCAGCCCTGTGATCCGTGTGCAAATCCCAGCAGCCTTTGGGACAGTGGTGCTGAGGCGTCCAGGAGGACTGAGGGGTTGTGGTGTGGATGTGGCTCCGGAGGGGGTTGAGGGGCAAGGGAGACTTGGACGCTGGCATTCTTTACCACTTGAGGGGCCAACTCAGAGACAGGAACGGACCGAGTGGACAGCACTCAGACCCACTGGCTGGTATTCCGAAACCATCTGATTGGCTTTCTGGCGCTGGACTGGGTGGGACCGCTCAATTGGCCACTCTGCAAACCGTACCTGCCCAGACCTGCCCGTGTTCCCAACGCGATCGCCAGCTGCTCTGTAAATACCTGGTGCTAACACCCCACGCCCTCCCTCCTGCCGCACCCGCCCGCCCACATTGAGGTCCCCTCGTGGGAACCGAGGTGGGGATGGTCGCTTTGTAATGTGCTGGTTATACTGTTGTTTTTTTCTTTATGCCCCTGAAAACTTTAAATTTTGTCAGAAACCATGCCGGGCTAGCTGAAGGGTGGGGAGAGGGAAGATGCACCCCACCACGCTCTCGAGAAAAAATACCTGCAATAAACAAACCTGTGGGCCAGCTGCCAGGAGGACCAGCAGCCCAGCAGCCCAGCCAGGGCTCTGCTTCCTGGTCCGCGGCCCCTCCCGCTTCTCCGTGGTGACGTGGCTGCTCCCTCACATCTGCGCTGCCTCTGCCCTTTCCTGCCTCCCCTGCCCACCCGCCTGCCCCCACACGCCCCAGCGGAGAGCATGATCCGTGACCTCGCTTCTGACTTTCGCCTCTGGGACAAGTAAGTCAATGTGGGCAGTTAGGTCGTCTGGGTTGTTTTTGTTTTGTTTTCCCTTTTTCTGTTCGTTTCATCTGCCCCTGCCCCCCAGGTCGATCACGTGGCTTTTTCTGGGACCTGCCCAGCTTTGAGAATCTTCTCATCCACCCTCTGACACCCAGCCTCGGGGAGGACGGGAGGGGAGGGACGGGGCATAGCGGGAGACCCGGCCAAGAGCTGAGGGAAAGGGCAGGTAGGCGTGAAGCTGTGGACATTTCGGAGTGTTTGGGTTTTGGTTTTGTTTTGTTTTTTTAAACCGGGCAATATTGTGTTCAGTTCAAGCTGTGAAGAAAAATATATATCAATGTTTTCCAATAAAATACAGTGACTACCTGATTGGCTCTGGCCCTCATCTTGGTTTCTAGGCCTGGGGCCCCGCACCCCTGGCCTGGTCCCTGCAGCCACGGAGGGACCTCCGAGTCGGAGTTCGGGTCCCAGCTAGATCGATGGCAGCCTTGAGTGACGGCCACAGGCCAGCACAGGGTGGGCACCTGGGCCAGAGACCAGCCCCACCCTTGGGGCGGGGGACATGGGACATCAGACTGCAAGACAAGAACTGAGGAGTGTCAGACCCAGACGGGCGGTTCTCTGGTCCTCCGGGGAAGGGGTGGCGTTCACTGAGGGAGCCGATGGCGGGCAGGAGCCTGAGTGTGCTCAGTGGTCCTGAGCTGGAGAGGGCACCGAGCAACTGCAAACTACAGACAACTCCTCAGCATCCCTGAGGGAAGCAGGACGGAGAAAGAGCTGCACCCCAGCCAGTGTGGCCCAGTGGGAAGGACGGACTGAAGGGTCCCCGGTTCGATTCCTGGTCAGGGCACATGCCCAGGTTGCGAGCTCAATCCCCAGTAGGGAGCGTGCAGGAGTCAGCCGATCAATGATTCTCTCAACATTGATGTTTTCATCTCCCTTTCTCTCTGAAATCAAAAATATTTTTTACCCAAATAAAGGCCTGCAGTCCGGCCATGCTCTCGGGAAGGGATGGAACAGAATCTCCGGGGCTTTTCCCAAATACATGCTCCCTGCCTCCTGCTGCAAATCCTGCCACTCCTGCTCACACTTGACCACAGGCTGGGCAGGAGGCAAGCGGAGGCGGAGTTGAGTGGTTAAGGGACTCCCTTCTGCTCATCTCCGCCTGGCCTTGGGAGAATGGGGAAGCCTGCAGGGTCCAACCTCAGGGGCCTTCCTGGTGTGGGCCAGTCACCAGGGCCCCAGCTGCTTTTAAGTGTTTTTTAATATATTTTTATTCATTTCAGAGAGGAAGGGAGAGAGATAGAAACATCAATGATGAGAGAGAATTATTGATCAGCCACCTCCTGCACGCCCCCTACTGGGGATCGAGCCCACAACCCATGCATGTGCCCTGATCAGGAACCGAACCCTGACCTCCAGGTTCATAGGTCGATGTTCAAACACTGAACCACACCGGCTGGGCAGCCGGCCGGTTTTAAAGTAAATGGTCATTTAAAACAAAGATGGCTTCGGGCAGGCCAGCGACAGCCAGTGGGAAGGCTGGGGTCGCCGTGTGGGTATGAGATGGGAGCTGCCTTCGCAGCCAGACCTGTGGGGAAGTCTGGCCTAGTCGTTGAGGGAAGGTGGGCTTTGGTGACCCACAGAACTGGGCTCGAGGCCCATGAGTGCGTGCTCACTAGCCTTGGGCCACTTCTGCCACCTCCTACCTGATAACCTTGGAGCAGTGACTTCACTTCTCTGGCCTCAGTTTACAAAATGAAGAATAGCCCTGGCTGGTTTGGCTCGGTGGATAGAGCATCAGCCTGCGGACTGAGGGGTCCTGGGTTCAATTCTGGTCAAAGGCATGTGACCGGGTTGTGGGTTCAATCCCCAGTAGGGGGTGTGCAGGAGGCAACCAATCAATGATTCTCATCATTGATGTTTCTCTCTCCTCCCTCTCCCTTCCTCTCTGAAATCAATACAAATATATTTTTAAAATATCCACCTAAAAAACACAAAAATCTACCTCAGGTCTAGACAGTTTGGCTCAGTGGATAGAGTCAGCCCTCAGACTGAGGGATTGGGTTCGATTGTGCTCAAGGGCACGTACCTTGGTTGCAGGCTCGATTCCTTTCCCTGGTTGGGGCTCGTGTGGGAGGCAACCAATCAATGTGTCTTTCACATCAGTGTTTCTCTGTCTCTCCCCCTCCTACTTTCTAAGTCAGTGGGAAAATATACTCTGCTGAGGATTAACAAAATTATATATACATATATATATATATATAATTTTATATATATAAATATATAATTTTATATATATATATACACACACACACACACACCACAGAGGGTTGTGCAAACACTTTCTAGATATCTCATTTCTCACCCAGGCCAGATTGAATCCCAATAAAACAATGCGGTGGGCATATAGGCGTGAGGTAGTTATGGAGATCTGACAGTGAGGAGTGAGGGCCCAGGCAGGTGAAGGCTCTTGCACCGCACTTCTTGGAAATGGCTGAGCTGGGTCTCAAAACCCCAGATCCTTCAGATCCCAATGCCCACGCTCCCACCCGATGCCCACACGTCTCTACTGCCTCTCATTTCCCCCCTTGGGTCCTGTGTTTTGAGAAACTTTTACTTCCAGGCAGGCCATGCTATTAAATAATCATGACTTCCCTCTCCCATTCTTTATTAATCAAAGGCAGAGCTTCTAATGGGCTCAGGGAGCTGACTCGAGCCCAAAGCAGAGATGCAGGGGGAACCGTTTCCAGTTCAGGCCCACAGACCTGCGGGACCAGCCCACAGCCTGTCCTGACAATGTCACTAGATGAGGGGACACCAGGAGGGGCCTAACCAGTGCCCACACGAGGGAAGGCAGGTTTCACTCGCCTGCGTCTAGAGCAGTGGCTCTGGGGCCACTTATAAATGTCATTCCCAGTGTGACCAGCAGGTGGGGCAATGACTGCAGAGTCCCCCTGAGCTGCAACTCCGGGGGAGCAGGCAGGGGCCAGGGTGTGTTGCGTGTTGTGCTTAAGTCCCATCTGTGGCCCAGGCCCCGTCACTGGGGCCCCGTCTGTGGGCTAAGAAGACAGCGAGTAAAGAAATGACCTTAAAAGTGAATGAAGTCCCCAAGGGAGAGGGGACTCTGCTGAGGATTAACAAAATTATCTGACATTGGATCTGACAGGGATCTATTCCTGGTGTGTCACTTCCTGACCTCCCAGCCCAGACGAGGCACCTCGAGTATGTTCTCAGGGATCCATGCACTGTGCTCTCTCAGTACATGTCTCAGCTTGTACTTTTGTATTTTTGCTGCTTGTGAGTATTAAATGGTCATCCCACTGATCATGAGCGAGGGAGGACCAAGGCCGTGTCAGCCACTGCTACACTCCCAGCAAGCACATGCAGCCTCGGGCCCGAGCAGGCTCAGGGGATTTCTATTGAGTCAGTGAATGAATGGAGGCATTAGCCCGCCAATGTAGCTCAGTGGGCTGGCACTGCTCCATGAACCAAGAGGTCACTGCTTTGATTCCCAGTCAGGGTACATGACCAAGTTCCAGGCTTGATTCCCAGTAGGGGGCTTGCAAGAAGCAGTCAATCCATGTTTCTATCTCCCTCTCCCTTCGTCTCTCTAAAAAAAATCATTAAAACATTTTTTAAAAAAGAAGGAAGGCCAATGTCAGAGCTGTGATCACAACAGAAACCCTCCTCTCAGCTCACTTTCTTCCAGTCCTCGTGTCTCTGCTCAGCCATCCCCTCCGAGAAGCCCTCCCTGATGGACAGGAGGGCAGGGCAGGGCAGGGCTGTCTATCACTGCCATGTCCCCAGCATCAGTGAAGTCGGCCTCCATGAGAGCCTGCTGAGTGAGCAAGTGTCTGGCCAGGCAGGCTGCAGCGAGAGCCACCCTGGAGCCCGAAAGTGCCTGAGAGCCGTGGTGAAGTCTTCAAGGAGGAGGGAGGAGTGTAAGCAGGACCTTGAAGGGCCTGGTGCTTTCAACGGATGGAGAAGGGGAAACTGTTCCAGGAAGGATGAGCTCAATAAGCAAAGAGCTGGAGGCCCGAAAGGTCACGGGCTCTTTGGGGAAACCTCGGCTGTCTTCTGTGGCTGAGCAGAGTGAGTGGGAGTTGGCCCTTGGCCTCCAGGCCGTGGGAGCCCTTGAACCTGGCAAGTAAGGGAGTGACCGCTCAGACAGGACCTTCTGGACGGGCCTTGGCAGCTAGCAGAGGCTCCGCGGACAGTGAGGTCAGGACGCCAGCTGAGGGACAAACCATCCCTGAGGGCCAGCGGTGGCCGGGGTGGGAGTTGTTTGAAACCCCTGACCTGGCAGACAGTGTAAGCATCCAGTGTAGACATCTAGGCCAGAGGTGGTGGGTGGTGTCAAGGCGGGGAGGACTCTGATGTTAGGCTGGTGGTAAGAGCCAGCAGGAAATTGCCTTCAACGCTTCATCTTCCCCTCTCCTCAAACCGCATCTGAAAACTGGGCGTGGTAATAGCATCCGCATCAGGCCAGGAGGCTGTGGGTCCCATGCCCAGCCCTACTCTGGCCTTTATTTTTATTAAATGTACTAGAGGCCTGATGGGGAAATTTGTACATGGGTAGGGTTCCTGGGCCTGGCCGGCGATCAGGGCCAATCTGCTGGGCTACTGGCTCCCCACTGGCACCCGCCTTGGCTGGCCTGGGGCCTGCAGGCTGGGTGCAGCTTCTGCATTGAGCATCTGCCCCCTGGTGATCAGTGCACATCATAGCGACCGGTCGTTCCACCCATCATTCTGCCGTTCGGTCGATTTGCATATTAGGCTTTTATTATATAGGACTAGGGGCCCAGTGCACAAATTCCTGCACCTTGAAAGGAACTATGGGCTGCGAGGCTGCAGTGGGCACAGGGGCGGGTCTCGGCCCATCCTCCGCACCCCCGCCCGGCCCCTCCCACCACGACCCTGGTCCCCTGTCTGCCAGCAGCCCTGCTCCTGCCTCCACCGATCCTACACGCTCAGGCACTGGCCCCAATCCCTGGGCACCATCAATGGGTGCAAGTGGGGCTGGCGCCCTCAGTGGGTGCGAGCGGCGGCTGCTGCCCTGATCACCCCTCAGGAGCAGGGGTAGGTGGAGAAGCCCTCAGGGGCAATCGGGGCCTGCAGCCACCGCTTGCACCCGCTGATGGTGCCGCACAATCGGGACTGGCACCAGGTACTGGCAGCAGGTGCAAGCAGCAGCTCCAGTGCCAGCTGCAGGTTCAAGCACTGGCTGCTAGCCCCGATCACCCCTCAGGAGCAGGGAGAGGTGGAGAAGCCCTGAGGGGCGATTGGGGCCGGCAGCTGCCACTCACACCCGCTGACAGCGCCAAGTGATTGGGGCCGGTGCCGGGCACCAGCAGCGGGTGCAAGCGCCAGGCAGGATCACGGTGCATGGGAGCAAAGAATTTTCAGTAACCACCAGAGGCTCGCCCCAATGACAGTGGCGCCCTCGCTCACCTGCTCCACCATCCCACCGTGGCCAATGCCCGCCATGTTCCGTGCACGCCCCCTGGTGGTCAGCACACATCATAGCAACCGGTTGTTCGGTTATTCAGTTGTTCCGCTGTTCATTCTATTTGCATATTAGCCTCTTATTATATAGGATTTTATTTGATTTCAGACAGGAAGGGAGAGGGAGAGAGAGATAGAAGCATCAATGATGAGAGAGAATCAATGATGAGAGAGAATCATGGATCGGCTGCCTCCTGCACACCCCACACTAGGGATCAAACCTGCAATCTGGGCATGTGCCCTGACCAGGAATTGAACTGTGACCTCCAGGTTCATAGGTCGATGCTCAACCACTGAGCCACACCAGCCACCCTAAGGCCGGATGGAAAGCACTGGCCCACCTTCAGGGTGGCACAGAGACTGGAGGGACCCAGGATGGCAGGTCCCTCTCTCCACTCCCGCCCTCTTCAGCCCCTCCACCCTACCCCTTCTCCACCCTCCAGGGGTCCCTGTGGGTGAGTCTCCACTGAGTCTGAGCCATGTTTGGTGACAAAGACTGGACCGCACCAGAAGTTTCTTCACCTGTTTTTTTGTACAATTCAACTTTATTATGAAACTCAACATCCTATATAATAAAAGGCTAATATGCAAATTGACCGAACAGCAGAGCAACCAGTTGCTATTATGTGCACTGACCACCAGGGTGCAGATACTCAACTCAGGAGCTGCCCCCTGGTGGTCAGTGTGCCCCCACAGGGGGAGTGCCGCTCAGCCAGAAGCTGGGCTCATGGCTGGCAAGTGCAGCAGGGGTGGCGGGAGCCCCTCCTGCCTCCGTGGCAGCGCTAAGGATGTCCAACTGCCGGCTTAGGCCCGCTCCCTGCACCTGGGGATCGGACATCCCCTGAGGGCTTACTCAACTCAGGAACTGCCCCCTGGTGGTCAGTGTGCCCCCACAGGGGGAGTGCCACTCAGCCAGAAGCTGGGCTCATGGCTGGCAAGTGCAGCAGGGGTGGCGGGAGCCCCTCCTGCCTCCGTGGCAGCGCTAAGGATGTCCAACTGCCGGCTTAGGCCCGCTCCCTGCACCTGGGGATCGGACATCCCCTGAGGGCTTCCAGACTGCGAGAGGGCACAGGCCGGGCTGAAGGACCACCCCCCAAGTGCACAAATTTTGTGCACCAGGCCTCTAGCATATTATATATATATTACTTTGTTGAGACTGCTATAAAAATTTCTACACACTCAATTTTTTCATTACATGTTTTTTTTATTGTGGTAAAGTATCCATAACATAAAACTTATCATTTTTACCATTTTAAAGTGTACAGTTCAGAGACATTTGATACATTCACCATGTTATGAAACCACAACTCTCTAGTTCCAGAACATTTTCGTCACCCCAAAAGGAAACCCCAAACCCGTTAAGCAGCCATCGTGACCTATGTTTAACTCTCCCAGACACCCTTGTTCTTCTTCAATATGATTAGAAACATAGTGACGGAAGAAAAATGTCAAAACAAGGGAGCAAGCATTGCTTTGCTGTCAAACCACATTTGCCCAGAGAGCCAAAGCCCACACCCGCAATGCCAACAGCAACAACAGGAACGCTTCCTGTCGCTCCATTCCAGGCCCTGTGCGCACTGCTTCTCAGGGGGGACCCATTCGTCCTCAGCACAACCCTTAAGCGAAGTACTGGGTTATGGTCACCTTCTCCGCAAAAGGAAGCCAAGGTACCCAGAGGCAAAGTCACCGCCCGACCAGGGAGCTGGGCTCAGAGATAGACCAGGTCCGCCGCAGGCTGGGCTTCTTCTTGCTGTGTGGCCTGCGGCTGCTTAACTGCCCCCTCTGGGCCTGGATTCTGGCCCCTGTGAAAGGCTCTAATAGCGGGCGGGAGTGAGAGCGTACCGCTCACACGGAGGAGGACTCGCTGAGGTTAGCTGCTATCGAAGGCTCTTGCCTTGCCTACCCCACCCTTCCCCAGGTTCGGAGCAAGTGAGAAAGGGGGACCGAAGGGGACCGGGATCAGGGAATGGGGAGGCGCTTTCCCATTAACCCCACCACCACCCTAAGCACATGTCCTTTCAACTTTTCAGCCCACTGGCTCACTCCCGGCCACCCGTGATTCTGGGCCGCTCTGAGGGCAGGGGTTGGCAAGGAGAAGGGGCAGGGGTGGGAGTCTGGAGATCTCCCAGCAGAGTCCAGGGTGGGGCAGAGCCTGTCCGTGTCCCCAGCACCTGGCAGAGTCAGCGCCCACTATTTGTTGAATGAAGAATGAATGAATGAATGAATGACATTTTTGTGAGGCTCTAAGGACACGTCAGGCTCTGTCTGGAGGCAGCTATTTAGTTGGGGGCAGGCACAGGACTTAGGTCTGCGTTCTTGGGCCGTCCCTGGGAGTCACACCCCACACCCGTGCCCCCACAATCCAAGTCTTATAACTACTAAGCCACACCAAGGTTCCGGGGCACGCGCCCAGCAGCGTCACCCACATCAGCATCTCCCCTTCCTCCTGCCTCTCCTGGGGGTTGGGGGAGCTCCGAGTTAGGTGGGGAATGAGAATCAGAAGTGAGGGGAGGCGGAGAGGGCGTGGCTCTGGGTGGGAGAGGGCAGGACCACCCCCGGGGCTGGGGGCACCCCGAATGGATGGGGATCGGCAGGAACACTGACCCTAACAGACTCGGCGCACAGGAGCGCTGGGAACTTTTCTAAATATTTAGACAGTGAGATGGATGGGCGGCCGAGACCAAACCCGGCCAGCCGATCGGTCATTTTGAGAAAACTGCTCTTGTGCTCTCTCCCTCCCTCCCTCTCCTCCCAGAGCTGGTGTGGCCACCCTGGAGGAGCATAGCAGCTGATCGCCCCCGGATTCAGGGGTCAAGGCCCTGGCAGGCCAGGGCTCCAGGGTTCATCGCTCTGCTTGTCCACCGGCAGCTGCGGGCCTTCCCCTGGCTGCCCGGCTCCTGTCCCAGGAGACGGGGCAGGAGGTCACCAGATGCCTGAGATGTCAGCAGAGCGAGCAGGCTGCCGTGGACTCCACTTTGGACAGCGTTCCCACGGCGCTGCCTGGCCGCTGGGCCGGAGGCAGGCGTGCCCCCTGCGCCTCGCCCCAGGCTGGCAAAGGCACCCAGTTCCCCTCCTTCCCCCCGAGAGTGGCGGGGGCCCTGGGGTCCTTCCCCCCGGAGGCCGGCTGAGAGAGGGGGTGCTGGGAGTGGCCGCGGGCAGGCCAGGGGCAGAGGCAGCAGAGCCAGAGCTTGAGACGTTGGAAGACGGCCTTGCGGAACAGGATGAAGACCCAGGGGTCCAGGATGGGGTTGAAGGCATTGAAACGGAAGGCGAGGAGGTCCCCCATCTCGCTGCTGTCCGGGGCGATGGCCTGGGTGAAGCCGCGGATCTGAGGGCGGGCGAGGGTATCAGAAAGTACCCACCTGCCACCCAGCCAGCCTCACCCGCCTCCACCCACTTGCTCGCCCAGGGAGTAGGAGGGAGGAGGGGCCTGGCAGAGGGGAAGGAAATAAGATAAAAACTAAGAAATGGACGCATCCGGGGAGCCGAGAGATAGAGAGCCCCAGGAAACAGCCAGCAGAGGCCTAGAGGGAGAGAGAGGGGCTGTGTGGGCGGCCCGGCCGCGCCTGTGTGTGTGTGTGTGTGTGTGTGTCCCTGCGTCATTCCGTAAACCCCCTAAAGTTTTGATGATTCTCCAATTTAGCTCAGCCTTGAATTCTACAGAAAGAGCATGAGGCCCAGAGTACAGATGGGGTGACCAGGTGCCACAGTACGGGGTCTGTCCTGCTTCCATCCGGGAGAGGCTGGGTGGGCATGGAGGAAGGGGGGGGGGA